AAACATACAACCACGAAAGGATCAAGGATCACAAATGAGGTCAGTCTGATTATAGAATATAAAGTTGGAGAAACATATAAAATAGGGAGGCTTTCACAATCACCATGCACACAGATCTGTTTCAGCACACACAGCCATGTGATAAATGATCGTTCACATCTGCCTATTTTGTTATTAGGAAGCCAATTCTCACAATTCTCAACAGCATTCAGTCAGCTTCCCAGAGTCTTGGAGATACTTAGAATTGTACTTGATAGATGAAGACTTGTGAGCAGCTCATAAATCATAACAAACTGATAAATTTTAGAAAACAGGACTAAATATAAGCATCTTTTTTTTTTTTTTTGGTCTTTTTGAGACAGGGTCTCCTCGTAGTGCTGGTTGGCCTGGAACTTGCTATGTAGACCAGGCTGGCTTTGAACTCACAGAGATCCGCCTGTCTCTGCCTCCTGAGTGCTAGGACTAAAGGTGTGTGCCTGACAAATTGCATCTTTTTTAAGATTGCAAGCCAAGTGGCATCGGGAATCCTTGGAATTAGTCAAGATGATGTTAAAATCATTTGTTCTCTGTAAGGGGATCAAAGGAATGTCTCGTATTGAACAAAAAAAGAAACACTAATTTCAGTTTCTCTAAGCAGCCTTGTTTTACTTCTCTTACACGTTATTTAGCAAGTGTTAATTTCAGAGGCTCTTCCAGTACACTATTATGGATTTAACTTGAAGCCCTGTTCCTTGATTCTGCATATTTGATAAAACACGCCAATGGTAATTCATTTTTGTTAGCATAAAACCACTGTGAAATTATTCTGTTTCACAGAAGGTGTGTTCTGACCTTTAACTGTCTGGGGTCATGGAGTGTTTTCCCTCTACAAATCGCATTTTTGTCATATTCTCCCCGCCTTGGGAGTATAGCAGCTCAGGCTGACCTTTGAGTAGGAAGATTGATTATATGGGGCACAAAGACTACAATGAGAAGAGTTTAGAGCAAACTGAATAAAACATGTTAGAGGCTCTCTGCAGCAAGAGAAATGTTGTCAAGAACAAAATACACAATTATGAGGCTGTGCTGGTGGTGAAGACTTCAAATCTGCCTTGAGTTTTAAACACGCTGAACCACAACAGTACAATAAATATATATTTCAAAGCAACATCTATATTCTGAATTATAAAGAAGAGCAACAATGAAATTCAGAACTTTTTAAAAATTTTATTTACTATTTTTTAGTTTATTTTATGTGTATGCGTGTATTGCCTGCATGTAGGTAAGTGCACCCATGTCGTGCAATGCCTGTGGAGGACAGAAGAGGCTGGTGGATCCCCTGGAACTCTAGGTATGGACTTTTAAATGCAGTTGTATAGATCTTTGCTTGAGGCAGGCAAACCTCTTAGCTTCATATTCCTTTCTAAATAACGTTGACAGAAACCTCAGGCTGTACCTCTGGTATAGTAAACATATATATATATGAAATCACAGTACAGATGAAATAAGGAGACTTTACAAAACATGCTCTAGTTTTCTAAAAGTGTCAACTAAAAGATGAGAGAGATATCTGTGAGTGTGTCCACATCTGCTCTGGAAGTCAACATCACTTCTTCCAGGATCATTTCTTAGGACTCATTTGCTACACCCAGAATCACTGTCTAATAGGATCAAAACATATGTAATCATTTACCATTTAATTATTGTATTTATTATACATGTGTAGGTACTCACGATTTAATTTGTTGTACCTCTATTGTACTTCTTATTACATTCATAGGTAATAGTTCACTTTATTCCATTGCTATGGTAGTAGGTAATTCTTCACTTAACATTTATTTAAGGGTGGTGACATTTCTGTTTTGAATACCCATTTATGTTTTTCTGAATGGAAACAGATGTAATTATTTGGTTCACATAAAAGTTCACAAATATAGAAATGAGCTATTGAAAAATCAATGAGAGCTGGGGACGGTGGTGCACACCTTTAATCCCAGCACTCAGGAGGTGGAGGCAGGTGGATCTCTGTGAGATTGAGGCTAACTTAGTCCACATGCTATGTTCCAGGCTGGCTGGGGCTACAGGGAGACCCTGCCTGAAAAAAAAATCAGTGAAAATATATACTAATTATGCAGTCATTGAAATCAGTTTTGTAGGCTGTTGATACAGTGGGGATGCAGATCAGTCATAGAGCACTTGCCTAACATGTAGAAGGACTTGGGTTTGATCCCTGGCATTATAAAAAAATTTTTGTCAATAATATTACTATTCTAGGAAATATGAAAAATATAACAGTTTCAAAAAGATGGTACAAAACAATATACATGCTGCTCTAATATAAATATTATAAGTACATATGCATGTAGTTGGGTATGGTGGCACACACTTTTAATCCCAACACTCGAGAGGCAGAGGCAGGTGGATCTCTGTAACCAGCCTGGTTTACATAGCGAGTTCTAGGCCAGCTGGGGCTACAAGGAAACCCTGTCATGAAAAGACAAAAAAAGTACATATGCATGTTTACATATTTAAAATATATGTATAATATATTTCATATACAGATATATCTGGGGACTATCAGTTTTTGTTTAGTTTTATTCAATATAGTTATCTTTTACATTGTTATTTTAAAAACTGAAAGTAATCCATGTTTAAAAAAGTCCCTGAAGAACTATGTAAATCCTCATTAAAATGTTTACAATTGTTGCATGATCCAAGACAATCTGAAGGATAAAACTGTCACATAATGATGCTTCTTTGGTGTCTTAGAAATTACATTATCTGAAACAGAGTTTGAGATATGCTTGTGAAAGATGCAGTAGAACACCAGAGTGTTGTAGAAGCAGAGAAGCCATATCACATGGCTTCTCACAACTCAGATGTCAGTTGATTTCCAGTTAAGATTAACCTTCTGACAAAATTTTCAATAGAGAGCAATTTTAGTGGTAAGAATTTCAAAGGAAGTATTAGAAAAACCCACATTAAAAGGAACATAGAGTTTAATTGAACATTTTCTCCATGCTGGAGATATCTTTGTGTTTGTACTCATGAGTATGTGTGTGTTGTGCATAGGAGTTTGTGCTTGTGTGTGTGTGTGTGTGTGTGTGTGTGTGTCTGTGCGTCTGTGTATGCGTCTGTGTGTGTATATACCCATACATGAGAATGTAGAGGCCAGAGATTGACACTGGGTGTCTCAGTTGCTCTCCCCCTTATTTTTTTTGAGACAGGATCTTTCACTGAATATAGGGCTCAGTGAAGGGCTAGACTGGATGACTAGGAAGTCCCAGGCAACCTCCTCTGTCTCTCTTTTCACACAGTGCTAGTACTACAAATGCATGCTGCCACAGCCAGCCTTTATGTGGGTACTGGGGATCTTAATTCAGTTCCTCAGGTTTACACTGCAAGAACTTTACCCACTGAGCTATCTCCCCAATCCTTGTAGATATATTTCTTTAATTTGGTTTATGGAATTCCCCCATGAAGTTTTAATATATTAGTACAGGTTTCCTTTAAAATTTTTTTTTAATGTAATTATTTTTAGTTTCTATGTATGAGTGTTTTGCCAACATGCAAATATATGCACCACATGCAAGTCTGTTGCCCATGGGGGCCAGAAGAATGTGTCAAATCCCCTGGACCTGGAGTTATGGATGGTTGTGAGTTGGCATGAGGGTGCTGGGATCCAAATTCTGGTCCTTTGCAATAGCAGCCAATGATCCTAAACATTGTGCCATTATCAGGCTGGAGACAGCCCAAAACATCCTTTAAAAAAACACAGCATTTATTATATGTCTTGTGTGTGTGTGTGTGTGTGTGTGTGTATTCTACAGATAGATAACATATATTCATATTTTAGGTGTATGCATGTATGTATGTATGTAATCCAGGTAGGACTACATTATTTGCAGAATAATCTGAACCTCCTGGTGGGCACAGACTTTGCCTTTGAATACAGGTCCCTGATTTCTGAGTCTTGTTTTCTTGCCTCACAACTATTCTGAGTCTTATCAAAACTTGAGATTGTCTTTGAAACCAACCTAGCTCTGTTAGCTTGTAACTAGCACTACAGAAATAATTTATAACTATTGTTTATTGGAGGAAAAAATATTAAAGTAACTAATAAAATCTGGAGGCATACATGAGAACAATTGGGCCAGAACAACAAACTAAGGTGATGGGTTAAGTTTGGTGGCTTACTTTAAAAATTAAGACACATGACATAATTTGTTTGAGTAGTTAAGAGTCCTTTTACTAGCTACTTGGTCAGTATGACTTCCCAGGGAGTGAAAGAAATAGACATTTTGTGTGAATAAACGTCTGTTAGAAGAATAGGACACTTTCGGCAATGACTGGATTTGTCCTGAGTATTGTAAAGAAAAGGATTTATCTCATTATTATACCAGAAAAACTATTTGTGGAAATGTATATATTTCTGTATCTCTATTTCAGGTTTTAGCTGTTGTCCTCCAATCACCAGTAGGTTAACACAGGCTACACTAATTATTGTCACAGCTTTGGTGAGGTACTACTTCACAGGATGTGGGAGGTGACCGATGGATACACTCATTTCAATGTGCATATTATAGCTTGTCTCTACAATAATACTTTTTCCTTTCCAAGTTACATTAATTTCTTTATGTCATTTATTATTGATCAGCAAAATAAAACAAAATATAGGAAAATAACTTTATATATGCTATTATAATTCTTCTCTAAAACTCACAAGAGTTGAGGGCATTTAAAGTTTTGTGCTATGAAACAGAAATGGTAACTGTAGGACAAATACCAAAGTGTTTTAAGTGACTTAAAGGTAGATATATAAGTAGATATACATGATACCTCCTAGATCCTAGTGATTGGAAATATTTGATGCCCATAAAATATGTGGGTCTCTAACCTTTGTCAACTCAACTAACTTCTTATGATAGGCCACTCTCAGTTTACATATCTATAAATGATAATCTCATATCATACTGTCTCACATGTCAGTATTAGCTACTTACAGGAATAAGCTTACATACCCTGGTCTAATACCTCTTCCTCCTCCCGTTTTGGCTGAGGTATTAACATAGTCTTCTCTTTGTTTTCTGCTTCTGTAAAGGATCAAAGAGGCTGAGCATGTATTTTCAGCAGATATTACACACTTTACTAGATTACAAGAATTGTACATCACCATAAAAACATTCAGGATCTTATAGTCATTACATTATTAAGAATTTTTTAGGAGCTGGAGAGATGTCTTGGTGGTTGAGAGTACTCGTTGCTCTTCTGGAGGACCTGGGTTCAGTTCCTGGCATACACATGTCAGCTAAAGACCAACTGTTCTTAGCTTCAGTTCCAGGGTACCCATGGCCTCTTCTGGCCTCCATGAGTATTGCATGCACATAGCGCACTTGTGTACATACAAGCAAAATAGTCAAACACATAAAAAATTAATAAATAAAGATTTTTTTGAAACAAGTTCCAGTTAGTCTGGAACTTGCTATATAGACCAGACTGGCCTTGAACTCATAAAGATCCACCTGCCTCCGCCTCCCAAGTACAGAGATTAAAGCTATGTGCCACCATGCCCAGCTCAAATAAAGATTGTTTTTTTATGGTAGAAACAGTATAATTCACAACCTTCTCCTATCCCCAACTATCAATTACTTGTCTTGTTACATAATGAGGTCATTACTTTTTGGTAATACATAAATTATAGAGAATTTTAAAACTTTTCAACAAATTACTCATATTTTTTTAATTGACAATAATAATATTTTGAAGCACTTTAAGAAAATTTTAGGTCATATTCTATAAATGTGTTAGTATCTTAATAAATGACCTGTTTGCTTAGTTATCTTCCCTCCTAAAATTCTCTTTAGAAGGAAGTAAGCAGTTGCCGTGGTATTTATGGATGAATTTACAAAACCCCATAAGGTCTCAGCATGCGTCATCCAATAACACAGGGTGTGGGCTTTGCAAATTTAAACTAAAGGAATGACAGTCAAGTATGACTAGCTTTCAGATGAGCAGTAAGTTAAAGAACGATGCTTAGAATGACACCCTAGGAGCTGAGACTAGTAATAGCAAGAATTGTTCTTTGTGTGAAAAGACACATAAACAAATAATTCAAGATATGGTTGGGGATGAAAACCAGTTTCAGTGTCTACAATATGGTGCAATTTATAAATTCATGAATCACAGAATTAATTTTTGCCTATGTAAGGAATGAGGTAAAAATAACTCAGGAATAATATGAAGAAAAGTCTACATCAGTGGGATTGGTCTCAAAACTAATCATTTTTCACCACTGATAGATTAGTCAGTTTTGCTTTCATGAATGTAGAATGTGTGTGTCTGTGTATATTTGGGGGTGCTCCTGGACATGTGTGCACATTGTGAGGAGGCCAGAGGTTGACACTGAGTGTCTTCCTCAATTGCTGTCCCCCTTAGTTTCTGAGACAGGGAGACTCACACCACCTGGAGCTTGCCAATTCAGATAGAATGGCTGGCCGACAAATGCGTGGATCCTTCTGTCTCACCTCTTCAGGGCTGGGATACACATACCTGCCAGTACACAGGTGCTGGTGATCAAAGTCAGGCCCTCGTGCCAGCAGGAGAAGCACTTTACCTACTGTGTGTGTGTGTGTGCGTGTGTGTACACGGGTGTTTTCCTGAATCACTCTCCTCCTTATTTTTTCAGATTGGGTCTCTTTACTGAACCTACAGCTCACTGATCTGTCTAGACTGGCTAGCCAGGCAAGCCCTGGGATCCTCCTAGTGTGGGATTACAGACATGCACCACTGGGCCTTGGTTTTTACAAGGGTGCTGGAGATCTGAACTCGGGTCTTCATGTGTAAAGTACTTCACCAACTGAGCCATCTTGCCAGTGCCCTGTGTAATCTTTTACTGTTTTGATTGAGATATTTTTGGGAAAGAAATTATTTTGTGAAAGGAAAAAAGAGGGAATAAGAACATGTGCACATATGTGACTGTATGAATACAGGAAATGAAGATGATTTTACATCAATCATACAGTCAAATGAGACATAAAAGAAAATACAGAACACAAAACACAAAGTCATACAGTACTTTACATTAAGCACCCAACTCACCTTTGTGATGCCCATGCATCATAACCATGTCAGACTTCACAGGAATTGGAATATTGGCTTCTGGTGGTATAGTTCGGAACATATCTGGAGCCACATTCTGTGTACAGGTCATGAAGGAAACTGCATGCTTGGCTTCCATGTAATACATAATGTATAAGTTGCACATTTCATCACTAGATGTGCCGCTGTAGAAAAAACAGTCGATACAGCAAATAAACCATTCATCTAAAACACAAAACACATTCTTTTTGAGAGAGAGTTCCTTGTAACCCCAGCAGGCCTAGAACTCACCACGTAGACCAGGCTGGCTTCAATCTCATAGAGATCCACCTACCTATGCCTCCTGCTGGGATTAAAAGTATGTGTCACCACACCCAGCCCATAAAACATATTAAAAAAAAAGATTTTATTTACTACTTTTATTTTATGTTTATGAGAATTTTGCCTGCATGTATGTAAGTGCACCCATGTTGTACAATGCCTGAGGAAGTCAGAAGAGTTCGTTGGATCCCCTGTAACTGAAGTTATGGATGGATAGAGAGTTGTTAGCCACCATGTGGGTGGTGGGAACTGAAGCTGGGTCCTCTGCAAGAGCAGCCAGTGCTCTTAACCACTGAGTCATCCCTCCAGCCGGCTACCAAACAGAACCTTAATGCAAGAAAAATGCAACCAGTAACTCCTTCAATAAGAAACTCAATGGTGAAAAGACTGTTTACTGCATAGTTTTCATTAAAATCCATCACAGTTTCCAAAATCAAAGATACATTGTTAAAGGTGTACTTAACACCCAGCAATGGAGTATCCATTTGCAGTTACTTCATGGATATCACCAAGTATCATAGAGGAAAATGGCATTTAAGTAGCCCAGAGATGCTGTCTTTTCTCTCTTAAGTCCCTTTATTCTTTATTTCCTTTCCGCGTTATTGAAACTCATAAATTGAGCAAGTACTTTTCTCATAAATTATCTTGTTTACTTAATGAAGGTGTGATGGTTAAATTGTCAACTTTTCATAATCTAGAATCATTTGGTGTTCTAATTTCATTCCTGTTGCTTTGATAAAACACTCTGACCAAAAGCAACCTAAGGGAGAAAAGGGTTTATTTCAGTCTACAGATTACAGTACATCATTGAGGGAAGCCAAGGCAGGAGGTCAAGCAGGAGCTTGAAGCCAAAACATGGAGGAACACTGCTTTCTGGCTCATTTGTGGGCTCATTCTTAGTTTTCTTATATAGGCCAGGGCCACCTGCCTAGGGATGATGCTGCCCACAATGGGCTAGGATTTCCTATATCAACTAATTATCAAGACAATCTTCTATAAACAAGCCCACAGGTCAATCTGATTTGGGAAATTCCTTAACTGAGACTCCCTTCTTAGATGACTCTAGGTTGTGTCAGGGTGACAGTTAATAGGACACATAGGAGGACAGTTTCAATGTGGAACGATATGGACCAGGTTCACTTGTGGGCATGACTGTGGAGATTGTCTTGATTGCTTTGAGGTGGAAAGAATTAGCCTAAAAGTGTGTGGTACCATTCACAGACTGGGTTTGGGTCCCAGACTGCATAAAAGAGGAGAAGGTGAGTGGAGCATAGCATGCATGTGTTCCTTCTCTCCTTGATCTTCACAGTGGACGTGACTAGCTACGTCAAGTTCCTGACACCTTGTCTTCCCTGCAAACATGGGTTGTAAGCTCAAATTTCAAGCAAAAATAAACTCTTTTTCCCCTACAGTGCTTTTTTATCAGGGTATTTTATCACAGCAACAGAAATGAAACTATGACAGATGGTAAAATTTATAATACATCAATAGGAATATCATATATTATTTACAAGGACATTTACTATGGAGAGTTTAGAAACTTGTTTTGGATTCGCTGCTTCCTTTTCACGGTCAGATGAATTCAGTTACCTGGACATCATAAGTGTAACCCTGATACCTGGTGTTGCAACTAGAGTGTGGTAGCAAGGAATAAAAGAATGGAGGAGCAAAGATGCAAAGTGGAATCAGTTTAGCCTCTTCTAAGGGGCTCCTACCTGACTGAGGCAGTGTCGTACAGCTGATAGATAATGGGAAATATCAATGTTTATAAACAGTGAAACATTTTTCCAAGAAAACAATTCCAAATAATAGAAATAGCATCCACTAGCTCATTAAGCATGTTTTATTCTTTCTCAGTTCACGTAGGTTACTATATATTTTAGTTTCATTATGGTTATTAAGAAGGGATTGCTTCCATAGGATTCAAAAGATGTGTACAGCAAACTGATTCTGGAAAATGATCATTTCCTCTTGGTTATTAGTTGTAATAATTTTTAGCAAACCTATGCTAACCAAAAAATAAGGTGGACTGTTTGCTCTGGAGAAATGTATCACTGTTGATTTTTCCAGCAGTGTCATGCAGTGCTCACTTCCTCTCCATAGCAACAGAAATGACGTCAGTGAGGAAAGGTTAAAAAAAATCTTTTCCAACTGGGGATGTGATTCCTCTCAGCTTTGAAAATGCATAGCTCCTGTGAGACCTCAGGAATTGGCTCCTGCCATGAGAAGCTCCGTTTACCCTTCAGAAATCATTTGGCTTTTCACTCAGATATGTATCAGTATAAATGTCTCCTATGAAATACAAGCAAATAGTGAAGTGCAGTCCCAACCAAACACCTGCTCACTATGTACTTCATGGTGTCAAAACACCATCTAAAATGATTTTTGAACAGTTTTAGAGTCAGTCAGAAAATTATGTGCTCTAAAAGGAATGGCTGGTACCAAAAATAACATATCAGAGCCTCCTACCATATTATTCTTTTCTTCCAGGTTCAAAAAGAGGAAGTTATGTAGAAAGGGGATCCAGCCAGATAGGAAAAGGAACGCAGTATGTGGCTGTAGCTTAGATCCCTCTGAGTACTCTGTCAGAGAGCCCCCCCCAAACCCCAACCACTTAAGCATCTTAAATGAGGGAAAAGGGAAATTAATAAACAAGTCAATAAATATTCAACTCATTCATGGGTAAATGCCTTCATATTTTATCTATTTGGGATCATCAATGCCCATTCTTTCACTAGGAAAGGCATGCCCACACACGCCAGCTTAGGCAGTGTAACCAGTACTCTCATCTTTTTCCTTACTACTGGAACACTAAACAAAACAATGTCACTATGATTGCTTGTTTAAAATTGGCTTCTTGCATAAATGGAGTAATTTATTATATGAGTTATTATGTCATTTTAATAGAATATACAAAGAAAGAATCGCGGAATTTTTTCTAGAGTTGTATTTCCAAAACTATTTGGAGAACAAATGCTCTTTCTGAAATGCTTATATAGAGTGATTTGTAGACATATATAAAAATACATGCCTTTATAAAACAATCACTATGCAGAATTATCTAAATGTATACACATAGATGCATGTGTATTAACAGATGGGAGAGGTCTAGAAATTTAATATATTTTGCCCATATATAATCATGCCTAGTAATATTCCCTCCCTCCTTCCATTTTATCTAAAACATAGCATTCACAGTGTCAGAAACAAGTTACCTCCCTACCAGTTATTGGCCAGGGCAGCACTAGGGGTCTCCAAAACAACATAGCCTATGGCTGTTGCTCTTGGTTGCTTATCATAACTAGATGATAAGACCCTATTGCTGAAGGCATCAGATTCTTTAGTTGCATAACATAGAGAAATGAATCTTGGACTGACCAGGACACTCTCTCCCTCCTGACTAGCTTTCATAGTGCTGGAAAGTGCTTTTTAAGGTGCTAGGGGAGAAAGGACATTAATGATCTTACCTGTCACTGGGCCCTGCATGTTACAGTAATGACCTGTCAGGTAAGGCTGCCCACTGATGCGACAGAGGCTAGTTTAGGGGGATAACTAACTCCTGTCTTGATTGGATCTGAGGCCTGCTCTACAGGAGAGAATTTATGCCTAGTTCTGTAAGCAAGGTTAAAGCCCAGCAGGAAAGCCATGGGTCCTAGGGGAGAAGCCATCAATGTTATTGTGCTAAATGGTCATGCTCTTAAACTGCCATCTAAATATTTATGTTTATACCCATAGATTAGTGCTGCTCTTATTACAGTGGGTTACAGTGGTAAATGCAGAGATTCCTAACTGTTCAAAGTGCTGAGAATAAGTGACTGTGAGTGCTGAGCCATAGCTGGGACATCTACATCATGTCCTCCACCCTCACCCCAAGTCTCAGAGAATATCACAGGAGAGGGAGGGGGAAAGAACATAAGACCTGGAAGATGGGGAGGAGTGCTGTCGAATGCTATCCTCAGGACATGACAGCTCTGTTGCAAAAATGAATTGTGGGCAGCTGTCATTACCTGAACAACACCTGCACAAGAGCAAGCCAGTTAAAAGTTCCATCATGGGGGAGGTTGGGGCTTCGCAGGTGACACCCCAGCTGAGGAGCTATTGCCAAATGATGCCTGCTGGTTGGGAGGGACAGTAATCTTTCTTTGGGGAGGGTGGTCACTAGTGGTTTGCCTATGTTCCTGCATATGACCCCACAGCCATGCGTATATGGGCAGCACTATTGGACTCAGCATGTTATGAAAAAAAAGAAAGAAAAAGAGGACATGAAGTGAGAAGGGAGATGTGTTGAGAGTAGGCCTGGGAAGAGCTGAAGGGAAGTAGTAGTAGTGGTGAAGGTGAGCAAGAAGTGTCAGGTACGTGCATGGAATTTTCTTCCTTCCTTCCTTCCTTCCTTCCTTCCTTCCTTCCTTCCTTCCTTCCCTTCCTCCCTCCCTCCCTCTCTCCCTCCTTCTTACTCTCTCAATTTTTTTTTTTTTTGTCTTTTGAGACAAGGTCTCCCTGTAGCCTAAGCTGGCCTGGAACTTGTTACATAGACCTGGTTGGCCTCAATCTCACAGGGATCTGCCTGCCTCTGCCTCCGAAGTGCTAAGATTAAAGGTGTGTGCCGCCATGCCCTGCCTACATATATGAACTTTTCTAAGAATAAATTTTAAAAACTTCAAAATACAGAGGGTCCAAATTTGAAAATATTCCTTTAACAATTTGAGAAATAACTAATATCTCCAAGTTTCAAAATAATTAAACAGAATACCTAGCTAATATACATTATCCCAAATAAAATTTTGGTGCTTCAAAGCCTGTTATATGTTTACTCAGAAGATTTTAAAACAATATTTTATTATTTCTATTTTATGTGTATGAGTGT